GTAATTGGTTTGATAAGTGCTACCCTAGACTTGCTGTACAGCAAGACACAATATGGTGGTTCTTTTAAATAACTGACTCGTGCATAAGCTACTGCTCCATAACCAACCTCTGAGGCATCGCTATACAAATGCAATTCAACCCTTGCGTTAGGTTCGTCGAATCTATTCTTGATTCCTCGAGGTATTATAACGTGAACTATCCGTCACATGAAGTTCACCCAATTTAGACAGATCGATAAATAAGGCCCATTGATCGGCGGATCACAACCTAATTGAGATTTACACAACTTTTGCAGCGGAAATTTAACTGTGAGACAGACTGTGGAAATAAGGCTCAAAGGATCAAAGACAGAAGATGAAACAGATAAAATGCTTCTTCATGTCAATGGCCATTTCGATGCGTCGCAGTAAAAAATTGAAAACATCCTTTTCACAATCCCATTGTACACCTAAGGTTGGATAAATGATATTACATTTCTTTGACATTTCCATCAAAGACGCTTCCTTGCATACCTCAGGCAAAACGGTCCTAACTTCTTCCGAATTAGTTATCCATTTCCTTAATGTGAAACCACCTTTACACAATAATTCACTTACTTGCTTAACAAAGTTCTTTGCTTGATCACAAGTGGAAAAGGATACCAAGCAATCATCCACATAGAAGTTGTACCTGAACGCCTCTACGACAGCTATCATATCCATCAGAGAACTGTCTTGTTCAAGGCAAAGTTTGCACAGAACGGCGACGACGTCGCTCCAAATGGATGAGCTGTCATTTGAAAATCGACTGATTCTCTTGAAATATCTGCATCCTGCCACCATACAAACCTTAAAGCTTTTTGATCAGATTCAGGGACCTCAACTTGCATGAACATTTCTTCAACGTCTGCACAGATGGCAATTGCTTCCTTGCGAAAACGCAATAATATACAAACTAGTTCTGCAGTCGTGTCAGATCCTTGATAAATCATATCATTCAGAGAACCCCAGCACATTTAGCAGCACAATCCAGCACCACTCTCAGTTTCTCTGTTTTTTCGAATTTATCACCGCATGGTGAGGTAAATACCAACGAGGGAGATAATCTGGCATCAACTGTATTTCAGGGACCTTTCGTGCACAATTTTTAGCAAAATTACTTTCAATACTTCTTGCATATCTGGAGTGTAGGTTGCTATCCTTTAACAACCTACGCTTCAAACTAAGTAACCTACTGATCGCTACTTCATGGTTTCCCGTCTTTATGTTTGAATTCATTTTCCATGGTATCGGAAGAACGAAGTGACTACCGTCTAAGAAAGTACTCCTTTCTTATATTTCTATTGCTGTTTGGTCCTCTACTGACAGCGATTTATCGCTTGAATATACGTCGGTGAACTCTGCATCATAGAGCTTACGGAATTGGTCTTCTAATGTCTTCAGTCTACTTATACAATTACTAACTATTTTCTTAAAGCCCGAAAATGATGCAGGTCGAAATACGGTCCACCCGAGCAACATCTTCACTGCGTACGGATTTTCTCTTCCACCCAACCGTTGATCAAGTACCCAATGGGCTTCTGGAACATCACAACCAATCAACAATACAACTTCGCCAGAATCTAAAACCTCTAAGGGCACATCACTCGAATGCGGCCACTTGACTAGGCTGCCTATGACTGATTTCGTCGGCTTATGCCCTGGTATTTGCAACACTACCAGAGCTCCTTCAATTTTAACGTGCTCAGATTGGTCTAAACAGTACACTTCAAAAGATGTCTTTGTAAACCTTGTTGTCTTAATACCACTCACAGTTTGTACTACGACTGACGACTGTTCCTCATTTAGCCTCAGCAACTTCAAACATTCTGACCTGATCAAGGTTACGTCAGAACCATTATCCAAAATTGCGTACCCTACAACTTCAGCGTTCCCCGATCTTAACCTCACGAAGATCATTCCCGGACACACAGGACTGTCCACTGGCCTATCTTGTCCACAATAGTTTACCGTAGGCAGTTTATCTTCTGATCTATTCTTTGCCCAATGATTATGCAACAAGGAGTGATGTCTCTTCGGGCATCGGTCAGCGGCGCAACGTCTCGTCACTTTGCATTCAATAGCCTTGCGCCCTTGTTTAAGACATACAAAACAGATACTCTTATATTGACATGCGACCAACGTTCTTCTGTCGTGAAAGCCAAGAACTTTGTACACTCGTAAACTGCATGATCCTTTGAACACATACTGCACCTGACACTTGCAATCGGTGCATTTATCGGTCTCACTACCGAATGGTAACATAACTTCGTGATAGCTCACCCTCTTGGACGTTCAGCCAATCGTCCAAACCTACTCGAAGCGACTCTCGCTTTAGCTGCCGCAAACTGGGTGAGTTCGGCGAATATTGGCTCTCTGTCATCTTTCGTCAATCTATCTACCAGTTCGGCTCATCGCCTTTGCGTAGGTAGAGGCAGAAATCTTACTACTCTCTCTAATGTAACCAACGAATTTAAGTCGGCAGTGTAATTCATTTGCTCTAAAATCATGCTACAATTCTCCATTCTCATGGCTTAACTTGAGAGTTGTTCTGCGTCATGACAACCGTGCTTTACATCATCGAATTAATCCTCCAAAGTTTCTCTTGCTATTACATGAGCCTGACCTAACAACCGTTTCAAAATTTCTCTAGCTCTCTTATACCCAGCCGTAGCCTCCATCATTACACATCCTTCAGTGGCTGCCTTCACTTTACCCTTGCAATAATGTAGCAAATATAGTAAAAGTTGACTATCGTCAGATACTCCAGCCTATATATACGTATGGAATCGCTTTATAAACTCTCAATACTCCTTCGCTTTTCCATCAAAATAACACAATTCAACTCTCAGTAGCTGTATCTCAACTATAGGAACCTTAGGTATTGTACCCGGCCCTGCATGCCCAAGTCTTTCCCTTTTATCTAAACTAAGATTTGCTACCTTGTCTAACATTGCTTCACTATCACTATCACTATAGTCTTCCTTAAGTGCATCGGAACCATTAGGCGTAAAGACATCAGAAAAAACTTGCTCTCTACCAATGGATTTGTCGTTAAACTTGTCTTCATCCACTCCGACCAGCTTAAGAATGGACTTCTTTGCACGGTTGTTTGGCATCTCGGATTATCGATCAATTTTCGAGCAGCTTGTCGATCAATATATGTTTATAACTGTACGTTCGTACTGTTATATCCCCTGGCGAATTATGATTGGTAAATCTGAAGTCTATTTATGGACAAAGGCAATACGTTTATTCCTAGTGGATATTTGTTAAATAAGTGACCTATATCTGAAGTCTATTCTCGGACAGATGTAATACGCCTATTCCTATTAGGTAGTTGTTAAATAAAAGACCTAATAGTTTTCGTGTTCCTCTTATCATAACCTTTGTCTTGACCTTGGAACTATTATTATTGAATACTTCCCCCTATCTACAGTCACATTGGGCAATTATTGTACAAATGTTATTTTTCTAATTTTTGGTATGATGGGGTCTGTTTGGTTAGTATATAAACCCAGTATGCTTGTGAATAATGATTCATATTGCTGAGGCTGTTATTTGTGTTCTGAACTTATCGGGCTGGGCTAGGCGGATAGGAAGGACCGAATAGCACTCAATACTAACGTACGTATTTTTCTGTATCATTAGATATACATATATATATATATATATATATATATTAAGAGGACAAAAATCCATACGTTATAACAAGTGGCGACGGGGATTTGGGCAAATAAAAAAAAACAATTGTCGTTGAGGATTCTGGCAAAAGAAATACAGCAACCGATACGTGATTTGGAAATCAAACAAGCTGCAATAGTTGCCGGTGAATTTTCGGAGCTATTATTATTATCAGCAGGAAAAATGACGATTTCTCTAGAACAGGCGCTGATAATCTTAGAGCACCGGCAACAACAGATGCTAGCCTTCTAGCAGCAACTATTTGAAACAGTCTTGGACAAGTTTTTCAATAATGGTGCTAAAATGACCGTCTCAAAAGAACGCCCAGTTGAGGGTTCAATTCCCTACACATCTAATGCAAAAGGCAAAATGGGTAAGTTGGCCGGTTCAGAGCAAGACAATATCTTGCTAAATGCACATGAAACTGTGACAGTATCAGATGTCAAAGAAAAACAAGGTTCCGTAGACAAAGCCCTGAGCCCAGAGTCTAATGAAGCACCACTCAATCCACCGATTTCTGAAGACAAACTTCAGTCAGAATTAAACTGCGGGTTACATGATATCGGCCAAGGAAGCTGGAATGGTGCACATGATTTTGATGGAAATTCTTATGAAGATGAGGAAACTAAGTCGGTTGAATCAAATGCTGATCAAAAACTTAAGGCAATTTCATAAGATGATGATTCCCCTGGCTATCAAATATCCTCCACTTAAAAGTCTTAATGAATTTGATGGAGATGTTTCAGAAAAGCCAAATTCCGATGACCTAAAACCAAATATGGTTCATCATCATCTATTCATTTCTAGTGGATTCTGCATTCAATACGAGAAATGTGCACTAAATAAAGTCATATTAATTGTAAATTGGAGATATGAAGATCCAACATTATTTCGTGGGGGAGGAAATGTTGGAGAATTTCAACTTACGGATAATTTTTTAAAAATCAGAATCTATTCTTCGAATCTTCAAAAAACAGTGGAGGTGTTAAGTCGGCTTACAATAAACTCTATCAGAGACTCCAGAGAGGCTCATAAAGAGACCAACCAATCAGCGATTAGCTAGAAGCTATGCTACTAAAAAAACGAGGTTCTGGTTGACTGTTTAACATACTGCTACTAATGGAATCTCAAGGTCTTTTAATTACTATGAAATCCCTGTTTTTCTGTACATAATGAACCCTGTAGTAAAGTGCTCTACACAAACTTTGTGCCTTTTCTCTAATCTTCGAGTCGCGGAGTAGTTCTATCTCGGGGGTACAGAACTAGCATACGGAAGCGAATGTAGCGTTCACAATCATTCAGACATAACAATCATCATTATCATGCAAATCATCATTCAAATCATCAACCTCATCATCCGAATCATCATCATCATAATCCTGATGCGAATCATCATCATCATTCAAATCGTCATCATCATCATTCAAATCATAATCATCATCTTCCAAATCATCATCACCATCATCTAAATAAAAATTAAAATCATCCGAAT